AAAAAAAAAAAAAAAAACGTATCTCTCTGCAGAGGAAATTCTTAGAAGTGCAATTACTAGGTCAAAGGGCATAAGCTTTTAAAATTCTAATAGTTATGACCAAAGCGCACAGATTACATTTCCCTTGGCAAAGTATGACCTGTTTACTTGTGAGACTTAAACAAAAATACACTAATATTTTACATACCATAAACAAAAATACTGAAGAGTCTCTAGGTGTGGGGCCTGGGCATCAGTATCTGGAGCCTCGGAGAAGAGTTCTGAACCAGGAACTCTCCTGGGTCTCCTCACCCTCCAGCCCTGCTCTCCCACCAGGATTTGCCGAAGTGCTGGTGAGCCTGAGACCACCCAGGGTGCTACCAGCATGGGGGATCCCAGGGTCCTAGCCAGAAGGTCTCCTGTTCCCATGAGGGGTCAGTGCTTTCTCCCTAGGTCATGGCTGGAAAACAGGGCTTTTCCACTTCAATCCAGGTGCCACCCTCTGGTAGAGACTAGAACAAAGGCCATGCCAGGTCTACAAGCATGTAAATATGGAGAAAGCCTGGGAAAAAAAATGGAAAACCAGAAAAACGGCTTGGGCCAGAATAAGCAAGAACCAGCCTCACATGCACAGCTGTTCCATCGGTTGTATGCCCCAGAACCCGCCTCTGTCCCCAGGTCATGCTCACCCATGCTTACCCGGGGTACACGCTCTCACCCTCTGCTGAATGCTTTTTCGTATTTTAAAAATACAGTGGTGAGATACTGAGTGATTATTTTTTAATGTTTAGTATTTTTACACTATTGACATGAAAGACAAAAGAGAGAAAACTGCCATCCCTGACCATAACCCATTAATCTGCCGGTGGCCCCCTTTGTGGCATTTGTAATCATTCTCTGTGACTGCCTCGGGAGAGTTGTCAGGGTTGCTCTTTTTCTGCCAGTTCAGGCAGGGGGCTGGGGCTGGAAGGGGCCCATGTGGCAGTGGCAGGCATGCCCCACCTTTTTCTCTTCTGGGTGGAGCTCTGCAGAGGCATGAAGACCGGCACCTCCCTGCCTGGAATCTAAGAGCAGATGCTCCCGTCACACTGGCTGATGGCATCACCTTTATTCTGCAAGTAAGGGTTGTGGTCCTGCCCATGGGCAGGACCTTTGGGCATGGCCCAGACCTACCTTGGGTGCTTGACCATAGTGGGCATTTAATGTTCATGAGAGAAAAAAAAAAAGAAGAGGGAAGGGTTACCTATGTGGCATAATTTTAAGAACTGAGGACCAGGCCTGCCAGATACTCCTTTCTACTCAACACTGTTGTTGACAACATTCTCATGGTCACTAATCCAGCTACATGAACCTGTCCCTGCTCTGAAATAGGCATCAATTATGTATTCATTCAACAAATCTTTATTGAGCACCTACTATGTGCCAGATGTAGTTCTAGGCATTGAGAATATAGCTGTAAATAGTCCTAGCTACTTGGGAGGCCAAGGTGGGAGGATCACTTGAGTCCAGGAGTTTGAGGCTGCAGTGAACCATGATCTAGGCACTGCCCTCCAGCCTGGGTGACAGAGCAAGACCCCCATATCACAAAGAAAAAGAAAAGAGAAAATCATAACCCCAAGAAGTGTATATTCAGGGAGAAGGGAGAGGTGATGAGCAAACGAGATTATTAGATATTTGAGTGTAACATATACATTTGAGTAATATATAAGACAGTGATAACTGCTGGAGAAGAAGAGAAAGCAGGGAAGGGAGATGGGAATGAGAGGAGAGTGTAAACATTTTAGAGAGCATGACCAGGGTGACAGCGAGGTGACAGCAGAGGAAAGACCTGAAGGAGAAAGGAAGGGAGCCAAACAGGTGTGTGTGGGGGAAGACCGTTCAGGGAAGAGGGTAAAACACGCCCTAAGGTGCCGGCTGTGGCTTTTCTGCATGTTACTTGGTTTCCCCTCTTAGGCTGGATCACAGCAATTTGAAGGTGGAAAGAATGTTTCTGTGCCTTCAGAAATTACTGTGATTATCTCTCACTGCATACCCTTTTGTACCTGTTGAATTTTGTATCACTTGTGGTTATTTAAAAAGTATAAAAATTATTTCTATGGCCGGGCGCAGTGGCTCACGCTTGTAATCCCAGCACTTTGGGAGACCGAGGCGGGTGGATCATGAGGTCAAGAGATCGAGACCATCCTGGTCAACATGGTGAAAACCCGTCTCTACTAAAAATACAAAAAATTAG